TGATCCCAGGGTCCTGGGATCGAGCCCCACATCGGGCTCCCTGCTCCGCGGGAAGCCTGTTTCTCCCTCTCCCACTCCCCCGCTTGTGTTCCCTCTCTCGCTGTGTCTCTCTCTGTCAAATAAATAAATAAAATCTTTAAAATAAAATAATTCAAATGTATTCTAACTATGGTTATAAAATTATGGTTCTATATTGAAATATAAGTATTAATTGTGTATGAATTAACAAAATGAGAATTTAACTATCAATAAAATAAATTATTACCAAAGGTGAGTAAAAAGAATTCTGGTTATTCAAAACAAGCTGAAGTAGGCTGACCAAGATGGAGTAAGGGCAAATAAAGACTCTTCTGCCATTTATGACAACTAGAAACTATGAACAGAATACATAAAGAAGTGACCTAAGCACTAGGAAAAGGAAATAACAGTCAGCAGACTGGGAACTGAAATAAAAACCTGAATAATGATCCCTATCAAATTGGGGTTAGGGCATTGACTGTGAGTGTCATTGTTTTTTTTCCTTTCTTCCTGGTTTCAACAAGAAGGCAGGCTGAATTCCAAAACTATGCAGAGGGTGCTGACAGTAAAACTGGGAGAGCCCCATTTCTAGCCACAGCACTGAGAAAAGGGACCTGGGCCCTGCAAATCATGAAAATAAAGGGCATCTCCAATTTTATTTTTCTCTCAAAAATTTTTTCTGTACCAAAAGTACCACTACGACACAGGTATCTAAAACCCCAGGAGAATACCCATCTCTCTGGCCAGAGGAAGCCAGGCAGGGAAAATACAAGATGAGCCTGAAATATCTCGTGGTGCCAGAAAGTAAAGCAGTGCTCAAAACATTATGGGGGTATATTCAAAGGACACATGATCCAACTTGAAGGCGCTTCAAATAGCCAAAGCTGAAACAATCTGAGTGACAAAATGAAGAACTGGATTACAACTCACAGAATAAAATATCTATAAACCCATATTAACATAAGTAATGGGATAAATAAATAATGAAAACAGCCCTTTCTTACGATTACTACTGTATAAGTAATGAAAGAAGTAGAAAATCACTGCTAGATAAACATCACAGTAATTGCTTCAGGCA